CTCCACTCCAGGATCAAGTGGTGTTGCTTGATCTTCAACATATATAGCACTACGATTTAGTGGATAGATCCCAGTAGTACGAAAGGATGATAATATATTAGGAATGATCATTGCTTTGTACCATACTTTGCTAAAGACACCCATGAAATCATGCTGTGTCACCACCTTCCCTGGATTCTTACTCATGAATTTTTGACATTCCTCGTTCCAGTGACTTTTTAGGGGCCCAAAAACACCTTTATCCAATGGCTGCATCAAATGAGTCGTATTCGGTGCAAGACAAAAAATTATGACTTTCTCATGGGCAGCAATTCGTACAATCTGGGTTATATTGCGTAGAATGGCTGTCAAGTAATAACAGCAGCGGCCTAGAAGCAGGAGCGTGTACCAAAAAATGGTGGGTAAACCAGTTCAGGAAAATCTCTGAACTCATCCAGCCTGTATCCGACAACCCATTCATTGTACCAGGCACTTCATTGATTGTGAGTAGTGGGTTAAGAGATTTTCTGGCAAAAAAAACAAGCAGAGGTATTGCATACCCTGCTGCATTGACACATGCCAGAACCGTCATTTGCTTCCTATTGCCGGATGTAAGGGTACGTGAATGCTTTTGCCCCTTTATTCCTACAACAGACGACAGGGTATGCTCAAGAGGCAGACCACTCTCATCACAATTGAAGATTTGTGCAGGAGAATCAAATGATTCATTGTCTTGCAGGGTCTTCTCTAATAGGTCGAAGTAGTGGTCAATTATTTTAGGATCAGATGCCACTGAGCATGCATAGGAAAGCTTCTCCACTGTTTGTAAGGTCAATATTAGGTGTCTACTCCTAAAACTTTCCCACCAACCATTAGACACGTGAGTAGGGTTACCTTTTGATCTCAATATTTCCTTAGCAATGGCTAACATTTCCTTCTTGGTCTTAGCATAACCAGTCTTTGCACATTGACATATAAATTTAACCAATTCCTCTTCTTCCTTATCGTTAAGATACCAAGAAGGTCCACTGAGTGTATCAAATTTTACTCAGCCTGTTATTTGATCACATAATGTATAGACTTTGGCATATTATGCATCTCAGCAGCATGTCTGACTGATAAGCAACCTTCATTGACTTTTTCGTATGGTAGTGGAAGTCTATCTGCTGTATACGCTTCTTTGTACACCTGTGGTCTCTCTTGAGAGTCAGACTTGGATTGTTGTACTGATGTAAATGTGGCTCGTGAGGAACAAAAGGTACGGTCTGATACAGCCATAATTCTAAAAGAAAGATATTATAGTATCATTTTAATTGGTTGTTCATACATGCATCATGCAAATTAGGATTTCAAACACACATTAAAGGCCACACGCCCACACCTTAAGCTACCAAGTAACTAGTAACAAGCTAGACAACTGATTAATACAGCGGTAAACTGAGTACAACTTAAATGCTACACACAAACTTACCTAATCTCTCAAAATACAGCAGCTTAAAAGCCGTAAAGACACAGAGCGACTTGTCAGTTGTCAGCAAACAAACAGCACAAGGATCTACAATAATTAATTAATTAATTATTATAGCCCCACTCATGTCCGACGGAGCAGGTCTCAAAGTGTTCTTTTATTTCATTATACAGAGACTCTTAATCTTATCTATTTCTTTTGATACTGCACATAGTTATACCAAAATGATCAAAGTTTACACAGGTGGGGAAAAGTAATAGTTTGGTTTACTTATTGTAGTAAAAATGCACAGTACGGAATGATATGATTTTGTCCGATATTCCGTAATATCGGACAGGTACATTATTTTTAGTATAATTTCATGCAAGAAGTACATTGCTTTCTTTTTCAAGAAACCTATTACAAAGCTAAAAGTAATGCTTAATTTGATACATAAGGAATTGCGATTGCTCTTTTGCAGAGCTAGCAAGAGCCGTCCAAACATGGGTAGGGTCCGATAATTGATGGTTTACTCTATGTATTCTATCCAGAATGTAATATATTACTGGCTATTGAAATCTTGAACACTCATCATCCACTGCTCTCCAAGTCTCTTTCTGACCCTTTCGGTGTAGCTAAGTTACTTCAAAAAGAGGGTGTTATAACAGGACAAGTATTGGCTAGTGTGGAATCAGCTAGTCCCTCTGTTCCTAATCAACGTGAAGTCCTGTTATCTGCCATTATAGTAGCTATTCAAAGCAAGTACAGTTTATTACAAACATTTGCTAGTGTGTTGTGCAAGTTTACCAGCAATATAAAACTAGGAGCAATTATACAAAAAGAATATGGTAAGTTTAATGTAATAAATGATTTTATTTCATCTTTTATCTTTAGATGAGCATTTTCCTTCTAACAATGAATTTGTTTATGTTAAAAGTGAAGAAGAAGGTATATACAATAGAGCGTGAATCAACAAACTGAGTGACAAGAGTTATCTAACAACACAGAACAATTTTTAATGTAAACAAAAACTGAAAAAAACAAACAAAAATAACTTAAATAATAACAAACACAACCA